GTGTGGATATGCGTGTGTGGATATGCGTGTGTGGATATGCGTGTGTGTTTTGGTAACTTATTTGCATGGAGCTGCAAGTTAAAACATGAGATTCTCTGGTCTGAAGCAGTGAAACGGCCTCGCAGGCTTCTGCGGATATAAAATCCAGACCGACACCTCAGCCCCGACCGATCCTGCAAACTCTGACTTTTTGTTTTGTTTTTGGAAACCAGCTGACTGACTGTTGACGGGCAGGACTGTCCTGCTGGAATGATCTCAAACATCTAATCGATGGGACGCTTCGCTGACTGCTGACGGCAATTTGTCGAATAATTCTCGTCTTGTTTTCTGTCGGCTCCCCGTCTCTCTGTCAGCACAGTTTGATCACACAGTTGCAGAACCAGCAGTGCTGACTCAACATTATCTTCCTCTTCCTGCCTGTCTCTCTCTCTCTCTGTCTGTCTGTCTGTCTGTCCGTCTCTCTGTCTGTCTGTCTGTCTCTCTCTCTGTCTGTCTGTCTCTCTCTCTGTCTGTCTGTCTGTCTCTCTCTGTCTGTCTGTCTGTCTCTCTCTCTGTCTCTCTGTCTGTCTCTATCTCTCTCTGTCTGTCTCTCTATCTCTCTCTGTCTGTCTGTCTCTCTGTCTCTCTATCTGTCTCTCTGTCTGTCTCTCTCTCTGTCTGTCTGTCTGTCTGTCTCTCTCTGTCTGTCTGTCTGTCTGTCTCTCTCTGTCTGTCTGTCTGTCTGTCTGTCTGTCTGTCTGTCTGTCTCTCTCTCTGTCTCTCTGTCTGTCTGTCTGCCTGCCTGCCTGCCTGTCTTTTGACTTCATTTCCAGTGGTGCTAATACTCCATTGTAGTAAATAAACACCTGTGAATTTCAGCCGCATGATAATAAAAATAAATCTTGTTTTTGGAATTATTTAAATGTATCTTTATTTGTACATAACTCCCTCTCATCCAGGCTGCTTGGTCAGTCAGAAACAATGATGTTATTTTTTATTGTTTTATGACCCCTATTGTTTTTATTATCCTGTTGTTAGCAGCAGCACTGTTACTATGATCATCCATGACAAACACGTGTTTTATCTGCAGCCTTTGAACCCAATAAGCCCCGTTGATGACTTGAGTTAATCGTGGATTAACTACTGATTGGTATTTAAAGCTGGTTTGTGTTTGTAAACCCTCTTCTTCCTGTAACTCCTGTGTTAGTTCTTCTCTTTCACTCTGAGATCCGCTACAGCGATCACTCGTAACTTTCTGTTTCTTCTTCTTCACCTCGTCGTGTTTTACACCATCGCTGCTGCTTCCTGTCAGTCAGCTGACAACAATAAGAAACACCAGGAGAGAGGAAGTCTCCTCCAGGAGAAACACGTCGCCTCATCGGATATAAAAGTCACATCCATAAATCATTCGGAGAGAATACTTTATATTATTGTAACAAAAGCACTGACTGGGCTCTTCTCTGTGGAGCAGTGGCTCTTTTCCAGAGGACCAGTTCATTATGATCACTCTGTTTCTAGAAGCTTCTGCAGTCTGAGCTCTGGCCAAACGTGTGTGTGTGTGTGTGTGTGTGTGTGTGTGTGTGTGTGTGTGTGTGTGTGTGTGTGTGTGTGTGTGAGAGAGAGAGAGAGAGAGAACTGTTAACTGCATTTGGCCAAAGTTTCTGTTCTTAAATGTTAGTTTTTTATTTAGTTTTTGTTGTGGGAAAAGATCTCAATTCATGTATCTTATAGTTTTTATCAACAAATCAAACACAGCGCTGTTTGGTTTCATAATTCGTGTTTAGGGCACGAGAGTTGTTAGTAGAGTCCAGAGCGTGTGTGTGTCTATTGTTGGACACGCACATGCCTCTTAATGTACTTCCTGTTTTGTTTTGAAGAATGTCTCTTTCACATGTTTACGTCCTTCCTCCCGTCTTCCCTCAGGTGTTTGATAACTATGCGGTGACGGTGATGATCGGCGGGGAGCCGTACACTCTGGGACTGTTTGACACTGCAGGTAAAGAGTAAAGTCTGCGTGTAGTTTATAGCGTACTGTGTGCAGCAGCAGCAGGAACAGCAGTGCTCCTATGGTAGCAGCAGTATTGTTGCATTATTCTCTGAAACACCAGACGACGCACAAACAAAATTTGGAGCATCAAGTTCAGCTTTTTTTTTTTTGCCGTCGCCATCTTGTGACCATATTTGAACCGCAGAGGATACGTGTCTGGTAGCGACTTGTCAATCACAGTAAGCCCCGCCCTAAAGCATCCCCTGCTTTATGGTCTGTTTGACTCTAAATGGACCATAATGTCCTAAATGAACATCATGCTGTATTGAAGAAGACTTGAAACTAGAGATTGAGACCATAAACTCATGTTTACAATGTTTACTGAGGTAATAAATCAAGAGAGAAGTAGAGTCATTTTCTCATAGACTTCTATACAACCAGAGGAGTCGCCCCCTGGTGGACACTAGAGAGAATGCAGCTTTAAGGATGCCGCCTGGTTGTTGCTTATTGCACCACTGCGTACACAGTGTTTGCTTGTTGTCTGCTGTTGATCACAGAGTTTGTGTGTCTCCCCCTGTAGGTCAGGAGGACTACGACCGGCTGCGACCCCTCAGCTACCCTCAGACAGACGTCTTCCTCGTCTGCTTCTCTGTCGTGTCGCCTTCCTCGTTTGAGAATGTCAGAGAGAAGGTGAGTTTGTGAGGTTGAGTCAGTCGGTGGTTTTAACCATAAGGGACTAAACAAGAGGTCGTATTAATATTTGAACACCAAATAGTTTTTCAGAAGAAAACAACGGGCTTCTTATGCAAAGGCATTTAGATTTAATATACGTTCATAGTGTTTTTTTTTTTTTTTACTTAAAAAGAAACTCAGACGTCCGTTTCATGCAGCAAAGACGAACTTTACTGTGACTTTGAGTTTGACGGGTTTTAATCCAGACTCGGACCTTCCACATTAACCGCCTCGTCCCTCTCTGACCGTGCCTCTCTCCACAGTGGGTGCCGGAGATCTCGCACCACTGCCCGCGGACCCCCTTCCTGCTGGTCGGGACTCAGATGGATCTGAGGGACGACAGCAACACTCTGGAGAAACTGGCCAAGAACAAACAGCGAGCTCTGAGCTGTGAGAGCGGAGAGAAGCTCGCTCGAGAGCTGAAGGCCGTCAAATACGTGGAGTGTTCCGCTCTCACGCAGGTGAATGAATACGCCTGTTAAATACATTAATGAGGCAACGAATGTATAGTTAAATAATTAGTGATGAATGATCCGTGTTTCTCTCTGCTGTCTCTCGGTCAGAGGGGTCTGAAGAACGTATTTGACGAGGCCATCCTGGCTGCTCTGGAGCCTCCGGACAACAAACCCAAGAAGCGCTGCGTCCTGCTATAGACGGAGGAGGAGGAGGAGGAGGAGGAGGAGGAGGAGGAGGAGGAGGAGGAGGGGAGGAGGAGAGGAGGAGGAGGAGGAGGAGGAGTACAGAGGGAGGGAGGTGGACGAGGTAGACACATGTTTCAACGAGTGCCTTCAGCCGTCGTGACTTAACGTGGGCGTGGCGTCGGAGGAGCCGGGCTCTCGACGGGCTTTATTTTCATCATAGATAAGTGTTTCGGATTATATTATGACTAACGCACGTGAACAACACGCCTCGCTAACCAGGAAACGGGGGTTTAAATTTTAGTTGAGCAGTAGAGAGGGTTTCACCTCGGACGCCTTTTAAAAGATGCACAACAGTGGATGGCGTCACGGTTACAGATGAGACCGCCAACCGCCGCCTCAAACCGATGACGTTTCTCAAAAGCCTTGAACTTTAGGAGCTGTGTCAGATATCTGAATAAGATTTGTTCCAGTCAGTAAACACAGTCCTGGAGAACATCTGTGTTTACTGAACTTCATGGTGGAGCTGATCCTCTGTTTTCATGGGAAACATTTGAAATCGAGCTGACAGTCCCTGAACCTTTGTGCCTCACTTAGGAACAGTTGCTCAGGTCTCATTAGAGGATAAAATGTCCCAAAACTAAAATTTTGAGGTCTGATCTTATAGAACGTGTGATTTTTATTCTGTAATGACGACGGGATCGAACATTGTGGTTTTATTGCGGACATTTTCTTCCTTAAGTAGCTGAGTAGTGTCTGTGTTTCGGAGCTGAGGTTGAACTTCAGAAACTAGAAATAAAACTCACAACCTTGCCAAACTTCAAGAGAAAATTAAAACGATGAAAATGTCCTACGTGAGGCACAAGGGTTAAGTCACAGTAAAGTTCTTTAAAATTTAAATTACACAAGAAAGTCTTCCAAAATCAGTGTCATTTGAATCTTTGTTTGGTCCAAAGCAGGTCGCATCTGGAGAGAATAAAGTCCAGCAAGAAGAACAATGCAGCATTAATGATATTAATCTGGTCTGAGAAGACAAAAATAAACTCTTTCCTCGAGCAGAACTAACGCGGTTTTTAATTTAACGAGACGTGAACACGTGACCCAGTTGGTGAGCAGCGTTCCCTGCAGCTCAGTGGACCGTCGGTCCGGTTTACTGGAGGAGTTTGAGAGTAGTGACTGAACCTGACTTCATCCATTTCAGTGGGGAGAGATTGAGATCGCTTTAAGTGAGCTAATGACAGCTTTACTGACTTCGTCTATGAGACGATACACACACACACACACACACACACACACACACAGACACACACACACACACACACACATGCCAACACACATGCCAACACACAGTCATCTTTAACAACATGCCGAGAATGTTTTACGTGAAAACAACGTGTTTCCCTCGAGCCATCTGGAGTCACGGGGTCTCAACCTGACGACAGAAATGTTCCCGTAATAATACGTTGTGTTGTCAGTGTGACCGTTTCCCTCTCTGCCGTCTCACTGTGGACGTCCTGAACCCAACACTCCACAAACACAGCTTTCTATCTAATATAAAGTATGAGAGGCGTTACATATAGAATTATAACATCTATAAATCAATACTTTATTCATTTTGAGATAACAATCAGTGTAATAAACGTGACAAATATGAAATTCCGTAGTGGCAGCGATGTGAATTTAGCTGTAATTAAATTGTAATAAACTGATAAAAAAAAGGATGCTGAAATAACTACATAATGATGCTGATCTGTCAAAAGACTGAGTTTGTGCTTTGTCAGGTTTGGCAGCGACATGACAAGCAAACAACTTTTAAAAAGCTTGTTTTCTGAATGTTTGGATCGATTAGTGTCATGCTACGCTAACCTTGTAGCTGCTCCGTCAACACTCTAAATAGCTTCATCGCGGCATAAATACAGTCAAGACGTTGTACTTTACACCAGTCTATCGTTCATATACGTACATATAAATACACATAGTTTTGTCTGGTCTCTGGACAAAGCTGATCACAACGTGATCGGTTGATATATTTGCCGTGCGAAAGCTCAGAAAAGTCAAACAAAAGAGCGTAATATTTGCGTTCTATGTGAAAGCATTGGTGACAAAAACAACAGTTAGAGAAGATGTAATGTGCCGTTGTAAAGGCCGTCAGGTTCTCCAAAGATGTGGACGAACTTCCACTGATGGAGGCCACCGGTCACCAACTGTGATCCAAGGAAAAGGACAACGTCCGTCCTATTAAGACAACTGATAAAAGAAGTGTTCATGTTGCACAAACGCACAACTACAAATGCCAAACTTCACCTCATATATTCAATTGTTTGTGTGTAAAAACTTCCAGTAGTTGACTGTAAATGCCTTAAAATGTTTCCTAATCAAGAACATTGTTGCCTTAATGCTTCAAACCAGTTAAACACATATATAAGTCCACACAGTGAACGCTTTTCTTCTTCTTCTTTAAAGAGAAACATTTCACACTCGACCTCCTCGTATCTTCGCTTCGCTCTCCTTCTGAACGTGGAGTGCTGGTTGTAGTGTGTTGGCGCCTCCTGGAGGCCTGAGAGGGGAACACCGCTCGGTTTAAAGGGTCGACGGTGTTGTTTATTTGGTCGGCAGCAGATTAATCAGAGCTTTGGGGTTATTAAAGATGTCTCACTTAAATGATAATGTCATCAGTTATACCATCGGGCTTCTTTAATCAGCTACACAGATGATTTATTTATTGTTTTAATGTCATAAACGATAACTAACTGGGGATCCGTGGAGTAGTGTTTCTGTTTAAAGCGGGACAATTGATGGTATAATTGTGTTAACTAGAGTCTATTTCTGGTAGAAAGTCTTTAATGTCTCTAATACTGACGGTCCGGGACCAAAAGGAAAACAACTTAAACCCTTAAACCCGTTAAAATTAACTAAAATTCCACTTTGCTCATTTTTTCCCCACTGTTTTGGAGATGATTAATCCTGATGATGTATAAATGATTTTATATATATATATATATATATATATATATATATATATATATATATATCTTTGCTCCTTATTGTTTCGGATGTTATTTTAGCAGTTTTTCAGATATTTTTACTATTACTTGATGGTTGAGTGCCGACGGTTTGAGAGAGTGTCACAAGCTAAACAATCCTCATAATAAATCAATACTTAATAAGAGCCGAAGCAATAATTACAGAAGTGGAGCCGCTGGGTGTTTGGAAATAATAAAAACAGTACTTGAATGTTGTTTCACTTTGACTTGATTTTATTTTCTATTAATTTATTTCTTCCTATTATTTTGTGTTTAATGAGAAACGTAATAATACATTCTGGAAAACTTCAATTAATCCTTTCCATAGCAATGAAATGGAAACATTTTGTAGTTTTCTAAATAAATTCTCAAAGTTTTTATTTTTTTCTCCGTTTTATTTTTTGACAGAAATCGACTCCCATGGAGGATTAAAGAGATCTTATTATGGAAACAGATTAATGGACTGTAGGATGGAATATGACAAGAATACACATTTATAAACGGGACCACAAAATGTAACTTTAATGTCCATTTTATTTACAGGATAGATTAGTCTCTGAGCTACATGACACATAAAATATATAAAACATAGTAAACAATTTAAAATGTATTCTAAAACTCCACACAGTCTGTCAGCTCACAGCAGGTTTTGTACACAAAACCTGGTGTACTGGGTTCAGTATTTAACAAATTGATAAAAGTGAAATTTTGGACTTAAAATCTCACATCTACTCATAACTATAGAAAATAACAGTTTTATCACATTCTAAATGACAGCCTGTTATTGATCCCATTTGTCTATTTGTATATTATTAATTTATGAAAGTTCTTGATTTCATTGTATAGAATTTTATTCTTGAAGGTTACATTCATACTTTGATTAATATCTCCTATTCTTTGCCGTCAGATTTGCACTTTTTCGCTCCTAAATTTGCCCTTTAAAGCATTTTAATGTTCAGACCTTAACACATCGGGGGCATTTTTTTGTGCGATTAATTTGCGGTCAATATTTATTTTCCACTCCTTTCGTTCTTACATTTCACAATAAAAGCCCCAGATATATAATAACCGCTGGCAAGTATTTCACATTTTTGTGTCATTTATTTGTCACAATTTATCGTTAATTCTTAGTCATTTGATTAAAGCGAGCCATGGATATGGGTCCAGCCATCATAAATATGTTTTATAATTTATCTTTAGTTTAAAGACGGGATGATGAGATAGAAATATTATTTGGTAAATCTGTTTTTAAACTAATGGCTCTTTTTGTAGCATCATAAACACGTCATTTTAACTACCCACTCTAAAAACAGTTTATCTTAAGACGCATACATATAACAGTAAAAGTAATAATAATAACTGTTATTGTTATTGTTTATATTGTAATATATTATATTTAATGTATTACAACATTATATAACAGTAACATTAATAATATTATTAAAACATGTTTCTTATGAATCATTTTAATGTGTTTGATTATTCTGATGGCACATTTCAGACTCCGTACTTTGTCGGTTTTCTCTGCACACATGAGGTTAGTGCAGTACCTGGCGGTGGGCAGCAGGGGGAGCTGTTTCACTGGTTTTCAGTCTGGGCCTCAGTGGATACAGTATGTAAATGACCTGGGTTCATTTTGATTGGCAGACTAAAATGGATCCTTCAGACCGACGTGGCATGGAGGCTCACTCGCTCCTTTGTCTGACAGACGGCAGCGACTGAAACAGACAGAAGTCGCAGCATCTCGTCTTTTTCCCCTCTCTTAAACCTCTCTCTCTCTCTCTCTCTCTCTCTCTCTCTCTCTCTCTCTCTCTCTTCCCCCCCTCCTCTTTGGTTTGAGGTCCTGAGGTCTGCACTAAAAAACTTGAGTCACCTCCATTTCACAACATCCACTTTTATTATCGCAACGCGTTCACTGGCTTCTGAACTTCTCCCAGGGCTGTGTGTTGGTTTGGGATCATCACTGTGGGTATATTAAAAACAAATAATCTGCCCGGTTACCAACAATTTAAAGAGCTTAAAGGCCATTTAAACGGTGTTCATTACATAAGGCATGAGAGCGTGAGACCCAAAGTAGCCCACTTGACAAAAAGCATTAAAGCATATTTTTCTGTAAATCTCCTTTAAATGTTGTTGCAAAGCCTTCATTACTCTCCCAGGTGTGTGAAATAAAATCACTTTATTTTAGAATCATTTATTGAGCTTTTTACCTGAAAAACCAGTCAAATTTTAAGATATTTAGCCTATTGATAAAAGTTCTTCGGTCAGTTTTCTGGGACGCAAAAGAGAAAAATGAAATGGGCCCTTTAGAGAACAGCTAGTTTTTAAATCACTATATGAGGGTTCGGGTTTTGTCACGTCAGCACGTCCTCGATCCAAAGGCCAACTCACGAATGAGCTTCATACACTTTGTTTGGTCACGTTTGAATATATTTGACTTTTTCCTCAGGTTTCTGTGTTTATTTGATTCACGGCACGAACAATCCGTTGACAGACTGTAAACTCATATTTTAACCGTTCCCAAACCTCTACTGTACATTTTTCATATAATTATTGTGTATTTTGTGTCTTGTATCATGTGACCAGTGGTGGAAAGTACATTTACTCAAATACATTTATTTTACTCCACTTCTTTTATTTGACTAAATAATACTGAATATACTGAAAGGGGCCAATCTGTATAGGAAGTACTTCTACTTTTGACACCGTAAGTACATTTTTCTGACAACATATTTGTACTTTTACTAAAGTAAAATGTGCTTTTACATTGTTGTATGTGTACTTTTACTTAAAATAATGGATTTAAATACGTCTTCCACTACTGCATGTCACACATGAGCAGCCAACTGCATCCAGTTCCTCACATGTAGAAACTCTTCAGTGCAATTATGTGTGAAATGAAGGAACATTTTTAAACAAAAAGTCATTCATACACAGTAGATTTAAACTTTGCACCTCAACTGATTTCCTGTTTTCTCCTCCAGGTTTTATTTTTGTTACAAAGATCAATTTCTAAACATTTTATGCTGTTGTGTTTTGTGTTTTAATACCGCGACTAACCCCATGAAGTCAAACTTATTGGGCGTCTAACTCACCTAACAACCAGGTAAACAAAAAGAAGTAGCTTCACTTTCAGTTTCTCTCTGACTTGATGAATCAGTGCCAACTTATTGTTTTTATTTTGGTGGCCATCTTGTCTTGTTCAGCCTCTGACACTTTGACTGCTGTCTGTCCCAACACGCCTCGCTCTCTGCTGGTTGGGCTGGTGAATATTATTGGATGTCCATCTGACCTCATTATAAGTGCGTTGCCACAGGCAACCAGCTTGGAGAAGGGGGGGGGGGGGGGGGGTGGTATAGAACAGTTGCATCATGGGATAGAAACCTGACCTCTCTCTTTTTTTCTTTTTTCCTTTTTTTCTCCCTCATCTCTTAGAGGGCGCACACGTGCACTAATGCACATTTGTACACGTGCACACATGCAGAGCGTGCACCCGCAGCCACGCGCACGCACAGTTGGCCTGAACAGAGATACAAGAACCGGCATGTCGAGCGTCTTTATGCTGAGTCGGAACAACAATGCAACATTTGTTTGTGGCTGATTGTAAAGAAAAGAACAACGTGTATGGATAAAGTCACACACTGGACACTGTTGTTGAAGAAAAACCAACACTGTTGCTTTAATGTGTCTCTTCATGTCGAGTTTAGTGTTGAAGTTTGTTGTTTGAACTACGAACAAATCTGATACAGTCACACATTACTTTTGCAAAACTAGAGTTGAAAACGGACAAAACATACGTCATTTTTCAAAAGGTAATTGCAAAAAGAAGTCTGATTGTATAGAAGTCTATGAGAAAATGACTCTACTTCTCTCTTGATCTATTA